GCTAAAACAATGAGAACTTCAACAACAAAAAAAATAGCTGGACTTTGGGGCAGGCACCTGTAGTCCCAGCTACTTGGGAGGCTGAGGCAAAAGAATCGCTTAAGGTCAAGAGTTTGAGGTTGCTGTACTCTACTGAGGGCAACATAGTGAGACGAAAGAAATAAATTAAAATTAGTAGATAAAGCATAAGAACTTTAATAAAAAGTTTAGCTAGCTAATAAAGTATCAACAGTGGCTGCTTTATCATATTAGTTCCTTTAGAAATTTCTGTCTTAGTATCTGGAACTCAAATGGGATTCATAGGGCTTGAGTAAATAACTTCCCAGTGTGGTGGCTCACACCTATAATCCTAGCACCCTAGAAGGCCAAGGCAGGTGAACTGCTTGAGTTTTGAGTAGCCTAAGCAAAAGCAAGACCCTGTCTCTACTAAAAATAGAAAAGTTAATCAAGAGTCATGGCAGGCATCTATAGTCCCAGCTACTCAGGAGGACTGAGGCAAGAGAATCACTTGAGCCCAAGAGTTTGAGGTTGCCGTGAGCCACAATACCATGGTATATTCTACTGAAGGTGACGAAGTGAGACTCTGTCTCAAAAAAATAAAAAATTCAGTATCAAATGACTACAACTATACTGTTTTTAATGGCCATAAACTTACAGGATTCTTAAAACACATAATTCATAGAACTGTGAAATAAGCTACACACACTAACTAAAACTTCACATTTAAAATTTAAAGTACAAAGACCATGAAAAACACTTAGTTGTCAAATCCACTGAGGACTAGAAACAACTTAACAGCTGTCTAAATAACCACAAAATATTAAAAAACACTTCTGGCTCAACCAAAATGACCTCTGAAGTGAGTGAGATGCTGCCTCTAACAGACATCTCACTGGTTTGCCTAGAACCATTTATATTTCATTTAAGCCAGCTGGTATCTCCATTTGCAGGCATGCGTCAATGTCTAGTGAACAATCCATGTTCCTGTAAACTCTTCCCCATTCACCAACTGTAGTTTCCATTTTCAACGGCAAGTTTCCAGCAAATACAATGAGTTCTTACAAAGGAATTTAACTCTTCAATCCAATTCCTAAGGCAAACCAGAGAAATGATACTAAGCCATAAACAATGGGTATTAATAAGCCTAGGAAACTCACAAATATATTAACTCCATAAGATTATCTTCAGACCAATCACTACACAATTATGAAAACAATGTGTTGGATTTGACTGAGTTTCTTGTAATGCTGCACAATATTTTGGTTTTATTAAAATAATTTCTTGGGAATATCATGCCAATCTTCTGGCTAAATATTCTAAAAAACTGCAAAAAGAACATTTTGAATTTCTTTTTTAACTAACTTAAACAGGATGAGTACTGATTCAGCTACCAGAGGCATTCATTTCCCCAACCACATTCTGTACTGGTTCTCCTCCTCCCTTTACTTCCCCTTATCATCCACTTTTCCTTTTCCATCTCCAGGGATATTATAAGCTTCACTGCTGACAACCTAGACCAGTGTGAGCAAACTTTTTCTATAAAGGCTACACAGCAAATACAGAGCTTTGGGGCAATACAGTCTCTGGGACAATTCTCAACTGTGCAATGGACAGTACTTTTTAAAAGAGAGCACAGCTATGTTCCAATAAAATTTTATTTACAAATACAGATATTGGAATTTCATGTAATTTTCATGTGTTAAGAACTAATTCTTTTGATTCTTTTCCAATTATTTAAAAATACTGGTCGGTGCCTGTGGCTCAAAGGAGTAGGGAGCCGGCCCCATATGCCAGAGGTGGCGGGTTCTAACCCAGCCCTGGCCAAAAA